ACTTGTTCCTGTGGGATCTACTCTAGGGGATCCTGCTCTGGCAGGGGGGTTGGACTAGATGATCTCTAGACGTCCCTTCCAACCCCGACCACTCTGTGACTCTGTGACTCCCACCTCCAAAGAGAGGAACACATCCCACCACTGCTGGAAGATGCAAGTATTTGCCAAGCTCCCAGCAGAAGCACACCACAAGCTTTACCCTGGCTCCCCTTTCATTTCTTCTCCTTAGACTGGAACCCAATGCCACTGCCACATTGCCTCTGTTTGTTCATTCGTACTTGGTAACAGCTTAACATAGCATAACCCTTCCAGGGCATCACCTGGGACCCGCGTTCGCCAAGGCTGCTTAACTCCTTGGGACACCAGTGCTTGACACTATGTCTGTTCTTCACAAGGCAAGCACAGCTTCTTTCCAGAAAGCCCGACCTCCACATTGCTTGCAACGCCCCATGTGTTCAGGATGGCTCACACCTTCCCACAGAAAAATACACACCACCTCCTTCTGCTGAGCGCCCACTGAGACACCAGGTACCTCTCTTGTCTCAGGCCCGCAGACTTCCTCGACTAGTGGGAAACTAGAACCTGTAAGATCACTCCTAAGCAAGCATGTGGCAGAGGGCTACTGGGTGGTGGAAGACATTTGCCTGACTCGACTACAGCAAACCACGATTGAAAAACTGGCAGTTGCACGTGTGGCGAGATGTAGTCCAGCAGCTCACTTTTTGAGCAAGGAGTTTAAGCATGTCTTTCATTAGCTGGATTCAAACTTTCAGATGAAGTATGATTTTACCTTACTGGAAAATGGAATGTAACCTTCCACCCAGACGTCACTGTAGATATTGCCCGACGAGCTTGCTTGCTTTGTTGTCTGGCTATAGATTGCTGATGCCACCCTGCCTCAAACACAAGCATCATAGAATAAAAATAAATAACACCTGCAGCATGACCGCAGTGCAGAAATCGCTACGGTCCAAAGCTTTTCACCTTCAAATCTCTCTGCAGCTTCAAAAAGCATAAGGCCTGCACAGACCATTAGGTCACCGTGTCTGACCTCCTGTAGACCCTTAAATTGCACCATTACTTTTGGAATAAACTCAGCCAGTATTGGCTGACTCAGCCACCTGCCAGCAAGGCAGCCAGTCTGGATGTCAAGAAAGTAAAACAGTGCAAACCTGCCCTTCCCCCTTGATGGTTAATTCCAGAGCTTAAGCACTGCTGCTTTGTTTTCTCATTACAGTTGCATGTATTCAACTTCTACCCACTTGTTAGTGCATCTCTCACCCTACTTGAGCAACCATGCTTTCCATGGAAGAACACAGTTAACTCAGCCATTCCAGGGACTTCTGAAGGAACTCAAGAGCATAAATCTCTCAGGCCCTCCGTTAAAGGCATCTGCCTTTTTTAAAATCACTGTATTGCGCCAATGCTGTAACATCCCTTTTAAAACACATGAATCAAAATTTGGAGCATAAATCTCTCAGGCCCTCCCTTAAAGGCATCTGCGTTTCTTAAAAATCACTGTATTGCGCCAATGTTGTAACATCTCTTTTAAAACACATGAATCAAAATTTCAGGCTTATTTCTCTTAATGGTTTTGCCAGTGCCAATATGCAAGCTACAAAGCAATGAAACACTAACATACCTGTGCCTGATTTGCATACAGCCGTTTCAAGGTTGCATTAATCACTCCCTACCTGCGCCTGATTTGCATACAGCTGTTTCAAGGTTGCATTAATCACTCCCCCCATTCAGACTACCTTGCCTTGCCAGTCTGTCCTTACTGTAACGCAGCACCCACAAATACTATTCGATTACCTATTTACTTGCAGACCGTAAACAGAAAGGCTGAGCTGTGGCTGTTTCTAACAAAAGCCCTGAGTAGATAAGGATTCCTTCATAAACAGCTAGAATGAGATCAGTTTGCTAACCCTTACCCTATCAGCTAACTCCAGCAAATCAAAAACTCGTACGAAGTTGAGCACTCTTGTCCCCAAATCTACTGCAACTGCACCATTACCTTTTCCAACCCTAGAGCTTCTACGCAAAAAACCTCACAGGGCTTGTTTGCTAGCCTCTGTTTTCCTTTAAGCCATACTGACTTACACTAACACATTCCCATCCTCTAATTCCTTATTGAGTGAATCCCATTGCACTGTTGATATATTTTTGCCTGGGACTACTGACAGGATAGCAAGCATACTGAAGCGCCCTAAACTAATGTGAGCTCCCAGTCCAGTGATCAATTCCCTTCCATTTGGCTCTTCACACATGCCACTAAGAGGAGAAACATCACTCACGATCCAAAGGCAAATTTCAGCTAAAAACAATCCCTGCAAATACCAAATTAAACCTGGAGTAGATAACAAGGGCTTTTCTGCTACAGAAGTCGCAGCACCTCTTGCGCAGACCAGCGAAAGCCCTTCTGATCCCACCTCGGGTCTTCAGTTACCCCTGCAGTACAGACGCACCTTCTCGGGCCGTGCATTAGCCCCACCGGCCAGGTGTGCATCCTGAATTCTCTGCCCAGCCTCTACCCACAGACAGTCTCCAGGGAAGCCTTAATCTTCCCCTCTCTGCTAATCATCCCCCTTCTTTTCTCTGGACAAAACCAAACCTATGAACTAGGATCAAGTTTGGCTATGTTTGGTTTTAAAGATGTCAAATTTTTTAGCACAGAAATGACCTGAAAAAGAGCTTCTTTGTATGGAAGAGTTGTGTTTCAGCATCCAGTCTCCTGTTAAAATATACTCCTGAATGTTGTTGCCTCCTTTTTCTACACTTGCTTCCATTTAAAGCTTAAAACTGTATCACACCGTATCAGTGCTGCAGAACAGATGTGGACAGAATAACACAGCACAGGTGAGGACAGACAAGCCTTCCTTCTTCTATTTTTAATTCACAGTTTTTCCAAGTCTTATTTTGAGTCTCCATGGTTACTCAAGGCATATACTTTTGCAAGTGTAGGCTTTGCAAGAGGCCTGGCATCTCCCCTGGGGAATGATGGGATTAATATGTTGGGATGTACTTTGCTTTCAAAAAGGAGATCACAAAATCATAGAATGGTTTGGGTTGGAAGGGACCTTACAGACCATCCAGTTCCAACCCCCCTGCCATGGGCAGGGACACCTTCCACTAGACCAGGTTGCTCCAAGCCTCATCCAGCCTGGCCTTGGACACTTCCAGGGATGGGGCATCCACAGCTTCCCTGGGCAATCTGTGCCAGTGGCTCCCCACCCTCTCCTGGAAGAACTTCTTCCTGATGTCATGCTCAGCTTATAAAGCTGGAGGAAGAAGAAGGAAGGGGCTATGTTTGGAGTGATGGCAGGTTTTTTGCATTAATGAAAGCAAAAAACAGAAAGTGCTGAATATATTTTAAAAAACACAGCTTTCCTTGCTCTTTAACATGGAAGTTCAGCAGATGCCACTGAGCTCGAGAGACACATGGTCAGCTAGCTTACTGCATCATTTCAGGCAATGTAACTGAAGTGCACTTAAATCAACTCAGCAAAGTTGATAAAATGAACTGTTCCTTAAGTAAAAGCAAGAGTGGAATAGGTTGAATACCCTAGACCTTCCCTCTTTATGTACAAACCTAACTTTCAGACCTCTTCTTATCATGTACAAATACATCAGTGACATATTATGGGTTCTCCCACAGCCATAATGCACACACTGATAAAGAGGCAGGTACCGAAGAGCAAGCCTAAAGCAATGCAGCAACTTACTCTCCATTGAAGCCTCACCATAAAATGCTCCAGATTCAGAAATCTCCCTCCCTAATAAAACTCCTGGCTTTTCTAAAAATCTAACAGCACTACAAATGTATATGCATAAACACATTAAGAAACAAAATAAAAGCAAAACAAACATCAAGGCATTAAGAGTTGTAGATTAAGCAAAAAACCTTTGATTCAAGAGAACATCGACATCCTCCAAATTTTGAGACAAAAAGACTGGTATGAACATAGAATCATAAAATGGTTTGGGCTGGAAGGGACCTTAAATATCATCTAGTTCCAACCCTACTGCCATGGGGGGGTAGACTGAAAACTCACTAATAGTAGTGTTATTGGACTGAAATGAGAAAGGAGCTAAAGTAATTCACATCAAAGCTGGAATTACAACCTGAATGGGATCGCCCCACACTAATACATAACCTCTGGACAGAACAGCTATTAGTGAAACTGCCCGGCTCTCCATTACAAGAACTCTGTGAAAACCTCTCCAGCAAATCACAGTTAATACTCACCTGGCCGACCCTAAGGACGGGTAAAGAGCGCACAGCTCCAGACTGATAAACACCCGAAGTTACTCCTGTGTATCATGTGAGACCTTTACCCAGTGGTCCTATCTCATCATTAAGGTTACCTGCACAGTATTCTCCAGCCACTCCAGTTTCAGTGGAAACCGTATCACAGCAACAAGCTCCCTTGGGAACACTGGTCTTTATCCCGTCTCACTGTGCCCTACTGAATTAATGCAGAAGGCTCATTAGTTCCTTCTGTTAGGATTTTACACTTGTTTTATAAACAGAGAAGGGAAAAAGCTGGTTTGTATTTAATATTTTTAGGAGCTGAAACTGACAATTCCAAAAATTCAACTCACTTCAAGTTACTGCTTAAGAAAAAAAACACACAACAACAAAACAACAACAAAACCACCAAAACAACACCACCACCAAAAAAACAACCACAAAAAACCTCCAGGTCCCTGCAATACTTACACCAAGTGGCTCATTCCAGCCTTTATTAGAATAATTACAACTAAAAGAAACATGGCACTTCTATTTTCACAGCAGGACAAGCATCAAAAGAAATAACAGGCTACAAAGTTCTAGCAATACCGTGGGTGGGAAAAAAATAATTAAATAAACCAAAACCAAAGCTTGCTGCAGACATTACAGCTTCTTCCACATGGAAACCACAGCTTTCAGGACAGCAGATTTCAACGCAGAGGCAGCAACAGCATCATTCTATGTGCAGAGAACTGAGGGACTGTCCCGCCTAATTGTGTCCTACAGAGTGAAAGCAGAAGGTGGGAAAATGAAGATGGGCTACTCAATTTGGTTCATGGTCTTACTCAGTTCCCTTCTTCCAGCAGAGCAGGCGGTTGATTGCTTCCATTCAGACAATGGCTGCACAGTCACTGAGCCATCTGGGCCTCCATTGCCTGCGCTGTCCATTCTGGAGCTGTCTGACTTATCTTCTCCAGCAGGTTGTTAACCTGGAAACACAGTGACTGAATCTGCTTGTCCCAGGTTGGCAAAGCTTCGCGAGCTGAAAAAAATATACAAAATAGAGTAAAACTTAGCAACTCCCTTGCCTTTTCAACTGCAACCTTGTCTTCTGCCACCACTCTCACCGACCTCACAGAGGTAGCCTTCCTTGCAGCTACACCATGCTCACTTCTTTATTCAAATGCTACAATGACTTTGGCTGGCTGTTACAAGCCTAACTGCTGCACTGCAAAGTAGAATCGAACACATAACCTTCCTGGTGAACCTGTTCCTACAAGGAGACTGATGAATTCACACTTCCCTGTGGGTAAGAGAAGGTACAGTAGGTGTCCATCAAGGCAAAATCTGCCACCTCCTGGCCAGAACAAGACACAGCAAGCTCACTTCAGAGGAAAGATACCAAGAAACTGCATTTCCTTAACTTGTAAGGCAGCAACTCAAAAAGCTCACTCTTTCTGAAAAATTAACTATTGTGGTCGAACTTACTCTCAAAATGAACAATCCCGTCAATCTGATCAATGAATCCATTCATGCGACCCTCCGTTATCATCTGAGAAGCTATTTTTTCTGCCTGAAACAATGAAGAGAGAAGGCTGTTAGAAAATTCTCGCATTCTGAAACAAGTTAAAAATTGTTAGGACTTAACGGTCCTTACGTGTTTTTCAACATCTCCACACACTGGGGTGGGGAGGAAGCTACAGAAAACACTAATTATGAAATTATTAGACATACTGTCAATGGCATCCAACTCCACTATTATTCATCCCACACCATGTATCTTTCCTTCTCATAAGACACGCTAGATATTTAACCTGCCTCATAATATGGAGTAAGTGTTTATTTCCTAATATTGAACCAATTTTCCTAATGTTTACCACAGCTATTTTGTCATGTTTCTGATGCTCTTTGTTTTTCCAAAAGACGTAGAAAACAGATACCTTAGCTGCAGGGATCTCTAGTAATGCTCCAAGCTCTTCAAAAGTAATGTTGTTGTAAAGTTTGCTTGCAGATAGTAAGTTGTGCTCAATAACAGCTCTGTCCAGGATACTGGAACCTTAGGGTGAGATGAGAAACAAAAAATCCGTTACTACAAGCTTGAAATACTTGGGGGTTATTGTAGAGCAGGTGGAAAACGCTTTTTTCCCCCTCAACGGTCACATGTCCAGAAGGTCCAGACGCATCTGCCTTGCATCAGTGTTATCCTAGGCAGAAAGAAGTGAAAAAAAAGAAATGGATGGCACACGGTTGATTTTAAGACGGGCAGTTTAAACCCTTTTACTTAATTTCTGGAATAATGAAACGGAGCCCTTGGTTTTGCTGCAAGACTCAACATCCGAATTGAGGGAGTCTGACCTCCTGTGATCTGTTCCTAGCTTGCCAAATGGAAAGAGCATTGCTTTATTTTATTATTACTCATTACAGATCTTCTGGGTACAATTAACCTCTCTCTTACTGTGCTTGTATGGTGATAAACACGCATCTAATTTCTCTCTTCTTGAATTAACAGCTTAACTCATTTGCTCCTTAACCTCTAATTGAAGATAGGCACATCATTAACTATTGCCTAACTACCATTCTTTAACTTTTATACAGTACAGGTTATAAACAACAAATCAACCCAAGGAAAATACTGTAGCTTATTGCTAGTAAGTACCTTTAAGCAGTTTTCACCTCTGTGATTACTGTTGTTTATTTGTCCTTAATCAGCGAGTATTGTTCACTAGGAAGGTTTTCCTGAATAAGAGGTATTTCATGATTATGTATTTTCCACTTCAATATTCTTCTAAATTAGAAAATTGAGAACAGTGTGTTTAGGATTCCAGTGAAGTCACTACTTTACATTATTTCTCACTGTTCAGAGGTTCCAGGAAGAACAAAGCTAGTAAGATGTCAGTGAGATGGTTCAGAAAACAATTTGGAGACAGTGTGGGCACCAAGTCACGCCCTCACGGTCATCTTCCTGTCAAGTCAGGAAGCAGTGCAAATAAATCTATCATCTGCACAGGCCATTTACAGCCTACATGCATGTCACGTGTTTCTACACAACCTATTTACAATAGTGCCTTAGAACCGGAGAAGCTCAAAATGACAGAGACTCAAAGTGTGAGTCAGCGTTAGAAATACTGAGGTGGTCAGTCCAGAGGACCCTACATGGACAGAGAAACAAGATTTTTACAAGTTATCTTCTACAAGAAAATTTCAAAACTCAAGTAGCCAATCAGAAAGATGGACTATGGCTAAGGAGCTTTACTATTAAGCTACACTCGTGAGGGTAACATGCTGGGAAATAATTTTAAAAAATAATCATATAAGCAATACTAAATTCTTTTCCATCCCACTTCTTGACTGCACTGCGCAAATCTAACTCTTGTGGATGAACATCTAGCATTACCAGGCTTCGAAGAAATACATACCATCAGCTGTAGTTGCTTTCTGGTGAGGCATCAGCATAGCTGCAAACTCCTGTAGTTGATTTCCACGGATAATTCTGTCGAGATACATTTTCTCCAAGATTCCATAGGCTGCAAGCTGCTGGCATCTCTCATCCTTGAAGAGCGTAGCAAGCATACGAGAACGCTGTTGTCCTAGGAGAGACAAGAAGAATCCTCATAAATGATCACCGAAGCATTGAGCGTTTAGACAAACAACAGGAAGTTACAACCCTCTTTTTCCCAATACACACAATTAACAAACAAAGCTCTACCAAAGAAGGAACTCGGTCCATTGTGTCCAGTTCTAAAACACAGTTTTCCACTATCTTCTGCATCTTTAGCCAAGATGCCACCTTATCACTGGCAAAGACACAGAAGCAATCTAAGCCTGAGTTAACAGAATGCCAACAGGTAATTTTGACACTCTATTCACAATTTTAGATTCCTCACCAAATCTCAGTGACAAGACCCCTCCCCGCAAGCAATGCACAGGCTGACTTGCTTCGGGGGATAGGAAATACCTACGTTGGGTCTTTCAGATGGAAGTGTAATATGTATTTTACCTGCTGATGCCAAAATAGTACAATGCAAAGCATGCTTCAGCGCCTCCAGTCGCTCGGTTTCATGGACAATGCTCTTATAGGAGAGCTCGTTGTATCTTTGGGCAGCCTCAATAAACTTTCTTCTGTAATCAAGAACTCGAGCATAGCAAACCTAGAAAGGAAGTACGTTTCAGAAAACTAAGAAAACTAACAGGGTAGCTGCATAATAAAGGTCTGTATAAATTGCCACATTTGCAAGTGACAGCTCCCATAAACACTGCACTACGACATCTTAGGGACGTCCGTGTCTTCAGTTAGCTTGACTTGTAATGCCCTTGCTGAAGTATACCTGAAAGCAATTGAAAGGGCACGTCCCAGCACCAGTCACGTGTTTAAGACCACACATTTCTAAATGGCAGGAACTAAGCAAATGAAACGTTGCACAGTTGATATTGTGCTTCCCCTTCACTACAGTGTCAGCAGCTTCCCCTTCGCTACTGACACTGACAGCCAGCACTCAGGCAGCAACTCGTACGTGCCTGCGTTTCCCTTTCAGCGCTCTAATGTCTGATATTTCTTCCCTCCCTTCCTTTGTGCTTTTCTAATGCTTACACAAAAACATTTACGCTTCCAAATGAGTTCATGCTTTAGAAAACAGCATGGTGGGAGAAAAAAAAAAATAGGGGAATACCGACAAACCAAAACCACCACCACACCCTGAGTTACAGCTGATGGCACATCTGCTTTGAGTTGTAGAGTTTCAAACCCCACCACACTTGATTGGTACTGTCACACTACAGTTACCACTGCTCATCCCAGTCAGTAAACTGTTTTGAGAAACTAGTGTTCAATTTGTGGACATACTAAATCCACAAAGAAGCAGAGAGGTCAACAGTTAGTTAAAGCTACTTTTATGGATGGGACTTATTAGTTAATTACTGTTTGGAGGTAGGGGGTGGTGTCCATTGCCCTTAACATTGGACATGATTTGTTCCACTCTTAGATTTACAGACAAAGGTGGAGGCAATATTTTCAAGAATATTTCAGATGTTTTGACGCCTAAGTTTCATTTTCAATCAGTAAAGCTGGCATTTAAGGAACATTTATAGACTTATCTCCAAATCATAAGGAATGAGTTGTTTAATTATTGCTAAGATGTGGCTCTCCAGGTCCCAAAACCATTTAGAAGCTTTTCCCTTTGTCTCTTTTCTCATTACAAAAGTTTTAGTGGCACTGCATAAAAACATCTCAACATGAAATTATCTCCCTTTAGAAAGAGAAAGCAATAAAGCAAGTTAGACAACCTTATAATGGATTTGCAGCTGTTCATTAGTTGATTCATTCTGAAGCAAAGAAGCTCGATTAATATAAGCTTCTGCTTGAACTGGGTCATCATCCTCCAGATAGAGCCTGGCAATTTTCAAGTAGGTCTCCAGCTTGTAATCGACATTGTACTGTCTGTAGAGAAACAGAAAAGCAACTGCTCAGAGTCACTCCACAACTACCTTTGCTCTTAGCCATTCTAAACATGCATTATGACTCTTAAGCACTTGGTAACATTTGCTTTATGCTGCTTTCATCTTCCCTACCACCAAAATTAGTGCTCTCATTTAGGGTAAGGAACCTTGAGACGAATGCCAGTACAGAAGTAGCTCCTACAAACACCAGTAGAAATAATGCTGTCCACCAAGAAACAAAGGTACACTCTAATATTCTGGTTTTAGCAGATTGAAAGTTTGCCATGAGTGGTGAGTCACTTAAAAAGCAAACTTGCAGTGGAACAAATAGGTGCTAAAACAGGTAAAACCTACAGCAATTCCTTCTACATGCATACAGAGAAATGACAGCCAGAGAAAAGTAACAGCAAGGGTTCTAGACTTCAAAACCAACCCCCTCCCCCACCCAAAACCAACACAAACCCACAAAAAACCTCAAGTGTATTAGTTAATATCCAATTTCAAACTATGTCTTAATATTGAACTGTAATGACAAACACATGGAAGAACTGTCACCTTTCAAGAACCTTAGTAAAATACCATCAAAAGGGCTGTTTATCAACATGACAAATCGCACAAAACTTCTGGTGCAGTATTTTGAGCACACTAAACCGTTTACCGTAACGTACAGTCACCAAGCTATACGTTGGTCATCTGGCAGCACTTCCGGGCTGAACTACTGAAACTCTGGGAGAATAGGCAATTCCAAAACCTTCATTCGCTGGCCTAGTGAAGTACAAAGTTTTAACAACACAGATCTGTGTCTAGCACAGTACTTACTTTTGCCCCGTTTCCAAGGGGATCCCCACCAATACTTGTGCTGCATTTCTCCAGTCTTCTTCCTTCTCATAGATTGATGCAAGATGTTGTCTTATTGAAGCGACCTAAACAATAATAAAATCAGTAGCAAACACTAGAAAAGTTGAATGGTTCGGTATTAACTTTCACAGTATTTGTTCTTGTTCATGAAACCCTTCAGCTGATACCCCAGCTTCACATATACAGCAACCTGCAGGCATGCAACTCTCCCCACACGAGGAGTCCTGTGTGGGACTCTTGGAACAAACTTCAATACCAAGCTTTTTAAATATGAGTGCCAATTTGAAATATTTCCCCTTAAGCTTGTGACGAGATAAAAGGAATTTATCTTGAGGGAGCGATAAGTAATAGCCTCTTAAAAAGATGAAATGAGGCTTTCAAGAACCAGAGCACCAAGATTCACAAGCCATTTCTTGCAGTTATACCTCATATTATGCCTGTGAGATACGAATGAGACAAACCATGATTAGATCCTAATGCAGAAGCTTCCACTTTGTAGAGCAGGTGTCAGCAGGTAAAACATCAGCACTTACAATCTGGGTTTTATAAGCAGAAGTGTAAATAAAAAAAATCATCTGATGCCTTGGATTTAATTTATGCATAATCATCACATACAGGCAAGCAAGTTCAGTTAAGACTTAAGTGTAAAATCTACTTAAAAAGACAAAAGAGAAGCAAACACAAACCATGACAGAAACTGCTTTGCTTTTCTTGTCAAATACTAGATCCTAAAGGCTTTTTTTATAAACATCTTCTGTAAGGATTCTCAGATGATGATGAATACTTGTACAACAAAACCAAGAACTGAACTGAAAAAGGAACTGCAGCACACTCAGTAGGGTGTGTCCTTTCTCCACACTAGAGCTGGGATTTCAAGAAAACATTTTTTCTTAAATTATTACGTCTAAAATACACACACAGATATTTATTCTGAAAGAAAAGCAATTTGTGAAGATGCTTCTCTCTTTACGTCACCAGCCTGCTACAATAGTTGGGTGAAACGCCATACAACGAGTACCAGTCTGTCTGTTGACAGCACCTCTAGTAGCTCAAGTACTGTTTTACTGTAAGAAGCCATTTTCTGTTAGGGGAGGAATTACATGCCCAGCATCCTGATGAAGAGACAAAGTTTGTATTCTCTGCACAGTCCTAAATACTCTCTCCATTTAGCTCAGGTTTTGCATGTACAGGAATGCAAAACGGGATTCTGAGTATCTATTTTGAACAGCTTTTTTTAAAGACTTCAAGTAGTCAGCAGACAAAGGGGAAAAAAAACCCAAAGCCAAACCCACAAACCAAAGGCCCTCGTCATTGATCTCTCACCTGCTCTTCAAATGAAATAACTCTAGGCTGTATCTTTTCCAGGGTGAAGTGGTATATTTCTTTGGCTGTGCTGTCAGGAAGACTTGGAAGATGGGTACAGAAATCCGTCAGTAGCTGACGCGAGATCACTAGGCTGACATTCTCATTCACCACTGGTTTGGAGACACATGGAAGGAAAACACAAAGTGGATGCAATGCTTGTCAGTGCCCTCAGTGTAAGTGATTATTTACTTTTCTATTACATTTGAATAGTTCAAGTTTTTAAATATGTAGCCAAGTGAAGTGGCTTTTTAAATTTGCTTTTAAAAGGTGATTTTTTTCCCTCAGGAACAGTTTGTTTGCACTAGAGGTCACGAGAGTTCTAACCCCTGACAGCTAATAATGAATTTCTCACTCTGATTTCTAGTTCTGAGAGACGTTTCATTCTGAATCACTGTTCTCTGTTGCTGAAACATACTGGACAAAGTAAACCTTTGGGCTAAATTTCACTAAGTTTATTCTCAACTTAAAAAAATTACAACAGCTATAGTTTACGGAGGTATTCAGTAAGTCAAACAACCAATACAACACAAAAAACTCTAGCCATTTTTCCTTGACAGTTTTTCAAACTAACTCGAGATGGGGGAAGAAGGGGGTTATTAAATACCGTTTGGCATCCAATATCAATTTTGGCATTCAACAGATTACATTGTGTTCACCTTCTAACACTGTCACACTGACAGGCCGGAAAGTTACACCAAATGAAAAAGCTTACAAGTCCATTCTCCCTTAACTTCCTAATGTGGAGATGATGGCTCCTCTTCCAGTTGTGTTTGAGTTCCAACAGGACCAAAATATCATGTATTTACATAGCCTCATGTAAAGCTAACAAATATGCAATCCCACAGACCTCTGCCCTTCACTCATGTGTGCAACCATTTATACCAGATGCACTTACTTGCTTCTACAAAAGCTTTCAAAGCTTCAAGTTGTTCTACACCCGACAGCTGAATGGCTTTTTCCAATATCTGACGATATCTGTCCACAGATTAAAAAAAAAAAAAAAGTAAAGAAATCACTCACAGGGTACATTTCTTCACTAACAGGTTCAGTTTCTTTGCTTATTTTCTGTGTCAGAGCCCTGCTTCTGCTTATGTTTTCAATACCACTGAGGTGGCAATTTTCCAAAGTGTTTGCGCTCAAATGTTAGGAGCATGGAATTGGTATCGGTCTCTTTTTAAATCCCAGGACTAGATTCTCAGATAACATAGCTCATAATTTTGTTATCTGTGAATATATGTGCAATTTTGAAGGTGAAAAAGAAATATCACATCCCTAGGATAATGCACATCGCTCATGAACTAAGATAGGGTCAGTCAAATGTTCAAATGCCGTGTTCAGCGAGAATGATAAACAGTGGTGGGAATGAGAAGTAATTAGCATGTTATGGCCACTTGACATAAGCACAGGCACAGACTACGCATTTTTAAGTATTTGTTCCTGCAAAAACAGTAACTCCCCCTTGCCATGCTTCATAAAGCTAAATAAACTTTGCCTGGGCCATAACGCAGCGTGTGCAATACTGATAAAGTACAATATTCGTGATGAGGCCACATATTGAGGGAACGTTATCAGGTTTTTACAGGAAACTCCTAAAAGTGAAGTAACTCCTAGAAAAGAAGCAACTGGAGAGGGACTTGAAGAATTTCAGTGGACTCATGGTCACCTGCCTGATCCCGCGGGGGAGAAAAAAGTTACGTGAGACCACAATGAGACCCCGAGGTCTGCCGTCCAAAATAGCCGTATAATAATAATAATAATAACGTAGTTACTGACATATCTGCGGCAGTCAAAAAAAATAAATTCCTCAAGAATAAATGTAGAACAGCCGACGAGCAGGCAGCCCAGTTTCGAGGGGCGGCGAAGGGCTAAGGCCCCCGGGACACCACCAGCACGGGACAAGGCGTTGTTAGAAACGAAAAATGAACTTACAAGCGGCAGAGTTGTGAAGTATTTCCTTCTGTTTTATTCAAAGAAGGGCGGCCATAGGGCAAGAGCCACCTCGCCCGCCCAGGGCCCGGCGGAACGTC